AAAAAAAGTGCTAAACTTCCTTTATATTCTGTCACCACGAAAAAGCGATATTACAAAAAAAAAAAAAAATAAGCAACGAATTGAAAATGATATTTCCAACAAAAAAGCGGAAACAAATAGCGACAACTTCAGATTAAACAGACATATTGAAGAATATTTTCTTCTGTAGGGCGATGCACCAGTTCTCTGCTGCACTTCGTCACCTGGACATTTGAAACTTGAGATACAAGCGCGGTGCAAATCCTTTTTGCAGACTGAAAAATATTTTATGATGATAAATCAGTACTTAAAAAACTAACACACTTTCCAAACGAGACGTAAGATAGCTTGCCACTGCATCGATATCCCTGAAAAAAAAGACCGGCGAGTAATTTCTGGCAATGCGAACAAACAGTTGCTTTTTCATACGAATGGTAGTGAAGCGAATGTCCGGAAGCTTCTGCGTCTTTTGGTTTGTCATTGTCTCTAAACTGGATTATTGAATTACAAAAGCACAAATTCAAGAAATAGCCTAACAATTAAATAATACTCATAGGAAATAAGTTAAAAAGATGTGAGCTAACCATAGTAAACCTAAAAAACACCAATATCATGATTTAAAAGAAATATGATTTATAGAACCAAAAAATATTATTCAAATTTACCGAAGAGAAAAGAATGGTTAAGGCCATACCGAGCCATCTCGAAATGCTGCACCCAGTTGTCTCGCTGCATCATGGTCTTACAGCATAGATGCAGCGCACTACCGCTTTCCACTGATTCTGGTATTAGAGAAAAATAATGACCTCCATTTGCTGTTAACTTTCTAGTTAAAGTACCAAATTTAATGCTATTTTCAGAGTCAACGTCGATTCGATAGTTCCGCAAAATGTGAGCACTCCTGTACGAGTACTGATTGCCCTAATGAAATAAATCCAGAAAGATTGGAAGGCAAATTTTTAACTGCATAAAAAAATTATACTACATTAAATATACATCGGCTTTTCCCCTACTTGATCGCTGTTTTAGTTAAGTTTTTAGTTAAAAGTTAAGTAGAGATAACTCCTCTGCATAGTACCCCAATTTTTTAACAGTTAAGAATTTATATATAAAATATCATAACGAAATAAAACTTACTCGTAGACTTTTACATATCAGCATAACCTTGTCAAAGACAAAAACATATCGGTTCTTTAATTTACTGCCTTCTTTAGTAAAGTCAGATATTTTAATTTCCCCGTCTATCACAAGCCTGCCGTAGTCAGTCAAATGCATCCCTTCTGGCTAAAAAAAAGGAGCAAATTAATTGAGGTACAAAATACTATAGATGCACAGAGCTTGACGATTGCATTAAAGTTATATAGATATTAAGCAATTCAAAAATAGGAACCATCTCAAGGTCAGGTATGCTCTTCTCAATATCCATAACAAGCTGTTTCATTTCGTAGTCACGTTTAACTTCATTCACATAACTGTTTATATCCTGCATAGCTTCTTTTGCTTCTTCCAACGAAAGCCGATCAGGTGACTCAACCGGAGTCAACTTGATCATTTCCTAAATTTGCCATTGTTAACTCCTATAAAGTCAAACACCTTTCCACTTTGGAAAAAGAACGGAACAACGACAATAAATCCAAACGTCTGCTGTCATATTTTTACCCTGATTAATTTCCTATCAAGTTTAAACAAAATAAATTTTTTAAAACGAATAAGTAGATATACCGATAAAAGAACATGGTACTTCAGGACTCGCTGCATTGGGATACTTAACAAATCTTGCAAGTGAAACTGATTACCATTAGCAGCAACACCACAATCCTTAAAAAAATACCAATTCTAAAAGCAATTTAAGAAGTCTTCTATGCCTAAATACACTAGGAAAACTAATTTACGTGAACAAAGACTGCTTGAGAAGGCTTCGTCTCTAACTTACCAAAATTTTTTGCCGGATTTCTGGATCTTCTTTTTCTAATTGGCATATCCTAGATCGAGACTCGGGTAGTTGAGAACAATATAACCCATATGCAACAAACTTTTCTTTCCATCTAAATGAGAAACGCATTCATTAACCAGCATAACTTTCTAAGAAAATTTCGTGACCAAAAACCGACTAACGTTTTAAAAACATCTCCAATCGACATTGATTTTTCAGTCGGCCGAGGTAGTTCTAAGTTAACAGCTATTCGAACAGCTTGGCTTAAATGATCCCTAAAAGACCGATGGATGCAAACTAATTCCTAAAAATAACTCTTTGTAATGTTATAAGTAAACTAATTAGCAATGAAGTAAGTCAAACCCAAGAACTGATCATCGTTTTCATTCAAAAATACAAAAGATACCTCAAAAGAACCTCAACTTTACTTTGAAAAACCAAGAAGAAAATTACGGTGGACAAACCAGTATATTCATGAATATCGTTTTATGGTCCTCTGGAGGAAGTACACCTTCAAGTGGGGTATAGAAGTTCATTATAATCATATTCAAAGCTTTTTCGACATAATTATTTTCCGTATCATACAATTCTTTGATACAGTGCTCCCGCTTAGTCTCTGGTTTCCACGAGCTCCATTTCTAAATTGAATTCCCTTTCATCTCACCCTTCTTTTAAAAATGAACGTCTATATCCTCAGCTATCTAATGACCTTTAAAATGTGAAATACTATTGATTATCCATTTTCAAAAAACTCAGTCCTCTTCAGTGCAATAAACCGGTTCTTGAACGAGTGTAAGTCGTTACTTCAAAACGAAAAGTTCAAGAATTTATGTGAAAAACGGTTTAAATATTTGGTAAATGACGTTTAAACAAGCTTTATACTTACGTCACTCTCCTTAATCTTTTCACGACGACTATCAGAGCGTTGGCATACAATAGAATCATAGATTTCCCCGCTAGTTTTTTCGTCCTCCGTGATTCCAACATCATAAACATTTTCTACTACAGGTTCGTTTTCTTCAGCATCATTTTTTAAACTTCTATAGATAGCTTCATCGTTACCATACTCAGAGGAAGCCACAGATGGTAAATCCAGTGTAAAGCCACTAAATCATAAAATATGTAGAAGAATGTGAAACAACGATCAAAAACGTTTTTGGTAACTTCACATTTGATAAATACTGGAAAACCCATTATTAAGATTGACCTAGGATGCAAGTGTTTCATACAATTCATGAATATAAGTTAATTCATATTTCCGGAACTGTTTAGCTACATAAAAAACCTAAAAAGATTAGAAAGCACTAACTTGTGGCCAGAACTTCTTGCCAGAGGAGATTGGGAAAGCTTCGAAAGTGTCGCTAAGACTTTGCCAAAGTCATTTAGCCGATAAAGATCCCACGGATCAAACAGATCATCAGTATCTAGTCCGAAGGTACTCTGACAAGCTTTTAAAAATTCACAGATATTTTTGCAGCAAAGAAACTGAAAAAATTATCATTGTCACTGTGCTCCATGCAGTTAATTTTATGAATAAATATAAAAAAATGAGAGTCAGAAGCACTAATAGCAATG